TAGAAAAATGCTGAGTTCAGAAAAGCATAGCGGTAAGAAAGATATCACCAGTAATTTTTTTTTTAACCAAATGGCTCTTAATTTTTTCAGATAATTCCCTTCAGAATTTTTTTTGTGTGTGTTTTTAGCATAATTGAGAGCATACTTAATATGCAGTTTCATATCATGTTTATTTCATTCTACATTGTATTATAAACATGTTAGCTTTCCATTATAAGCTCTTGGTAAACATTTTTAAGGGCTAAATAGCATTTGATTATATGTTGTGCTATCATTTGTTTAACCAGTTCCTTAAATGCTAAATATTTAGGTGTTTTTAAACTTTCCACTAGTATTAATAATGTTGTTTTGAATATTTTTATCTTAAATCCTTATCTGACTTGTGGATTATAACCGAGGATTGATTTCTGCAAGTAAAATTCATGGGGTGAAGGGTGTGAGCTTTTTTTGGGAACTTAATTTATGAAACATAAATGTAGGGCATAGCCCATTTGAAGTGTTTGTTGTGTAATGAATGGCCTTGCTTTGGCAAGGCTAGTTGATAATTCTACTGTTTTAAATCTGAGATGTGGCTAATGCTGCAATTGGCTAATTTTTATAGGTGCAGTTGACTCCATTTCAGGGGACATTGAAGCTTTCCACATGAGGAGAATCCAGTTGATTTTCATGCTTGTATTCGGTGTTTCCCAAAAGGTTCCCACAAAGCTGTAACATAGCAAAAGAATTAATTTGAAATACACCCTTGTGTCACAAGGTTAATTTGGTGCAGTTTGTAAAAATGCAGTGCTTTTTGCTGACCCTGCCTGTTGTTCTAATATTTGCTATTAAAAAAGAGCACAGGATTCTTAGGAATCTTATTATAGACTAATGTGGCATGTTAAGCAGTCTTGAAATATAGGACAAAGCTCAGGAAAACCAGTGCTTGCAAAATTTTAGCAGTAAGCTAGTTAAGCGTGTGCAATGCCCAACTGTGCTTGTGTAGGTGGGCACTTTTCAATTCAGCAGGAGGAAGTCATTTCATTTTTCATTCATTCACTCTTTCACTCCTTCATCAAACTTTTACTGAGCACACTGAGGGAAGTTTTTCTTTTTTTAAAACAACTCTATTGAAGTCTTATTTGTATACCATAAGAACCTACTCCTTGTAAGCGTACAGTGCAGTGATTTTTTTAAAGAGTAAATTTGTAGAATTCTGTAACCATCATCATAACCCAGTTTTAGACTATTTTCATTATCCCCAAAAGTTCCCTTATGCCAAATTATAGTTGATTTCTGATTTCACCCAGCCTTAGGCAACCACTAACTGACTTTTGGTTTCTTTATATGTATTTACGTTTTCTCAGCATTTCGTGGAATCATACAACGCGTGGCTTTATGGGTCTGATTTCTTTCCCTTAGGATAATATTTTCAAGGCTCATCCATGTTCTACTGTGTACAAGTACTTTATTCCTTTTTATTGCAGATACTACTCCATTGTATCAATATACCACATTTTATTTATCCGTTCCTCTGGGAAACAGCTGTCTGCATAAAAACTTGAAGTGATTTCTTTGACTGGTGCTCTTTAGAAACATTAAAACATTCACTCTTGATTAAGTGCCCCACTTAATTAGAAAACGTGCCCCAATGTATTAACATCTCGTGGAAGTTAGATGCGGTAACATGCCATGGAAGCAGCCAACCCACCACTGTGATGCCAGAGAGCATTTAGCAGAGAGCATTCTGGGAAGTAGGAGAGCCTGAGATGAGAAAATAAAGGGCTCTGCTAAAGCAGGTGCCCTTTTTCTTTTTGCAGGAATTATCATGTAACCGAGTAAAGAAGCAAAAAAATGGAAAGCCTTAGGGTGACGTGGTCATAAATCAGTGCCTGTTGTGTGCTCACCACAAGCAGCAGGCTGTAGATTCGTGAGGTTGGACATGTGTGTTCTCCTTGAGTCACTAGTCTTTTTCTTTTCTTTTCTCTCTCTCTCTCTTTTTAAAGATTTTATTGGGGAATTGGGGAAGGGAACCGGCCAAGTTGTTATCCTTCAATCTTAGTTGTGGAGGGTGCAGGAAGCTCTGCTCCAAGTCCAGTCGCCATCCGGCCGGCCGCCTGTCGGTAGCTCGCGGCTGCTCAGCTGAAGGTGCCGTGTTCAATCTTAGTTGTGGGTGGGCATAGCCCACCATCCCATGCGGGAATCGAACCGGAGACTCTGTTGCTCAGAGCTTGCGTTCTTAACCAACTGAGCCACTTGGCCGGCCCATGAGTCACTAGTCTTAACTGACCTGGATTTTGGTTACAAATTATCCAGGATCTCCGTAGATGCACCTCTCACCTAAATATATATCAAGTACATATTCTGAGTTTCCCAAAGGGAGGGATCATTTTGGTCACATTTATGACAGGCATCGTGCTAGGTGCTGGGGCAGCTAAGATGAATGACACGTGATCCTTGTTGTCAGGGAACTCAGGTTAGCAAGAGGAGACAGCTGTGGAATGCAAATCAGTAGCAGAGAGATTGGCCAAGTGCTGTAGTAGAAAGATGCTCCGAATGAGGAAGCATTCAGGAAGGATTCCTGGAGGAGGAGACCCTCCAAGTCTTGAATGACCAGTAGGTATAAGCTTAGGTCAAATGGGGAGGTGAAAACGGGATGTGGGGAAGGTGTTCAGTAGAATGGCCTTCAGCAAGGCAGGCATCATAATGAGCTAATTATAGGATGGGGCCCACTGAGGTTTTTTGATGTGTTGGGTTGATCGCGACCGGTGTGCATCTGGAAGGTAGTACTGCTGATGTAATCCAAACCTTGGGGTTTGTGCTGTTCACCTGCATTCCATTCCCCTTAGGGGCCTGGTATTATCCAGAGTTGCCAGGGCAGTTACTGACTCGTGCATTGGAGCCAAGCAAACTGACAGGGATTGCTGAGTTAATCATTGTATTTACAGATGACTTGTTTAAAGGTACAGGCTGTGGTTTATTATGGAGAACTGTAAATGCAGTTCAGGGTTTGGGTTTTTTTCCCCCTGAGACAGGACCCTGGTCAGGCTCCATTTTGCTGTGCCTCTGTTTTGGTCCCTGTGGGATTTAGATAGTTTTGGTGTCCCAGCTTTCAAGAAGCCCTCAAATATGTGTGTCTGTATGGATATGTAGAGAGATTAGCATATGCACATCTGATATCTGCCCGGCCAAAAGGATTGTTTCAATGTGGGCAAGTATTCTGGGACCCATTAATCACTCATTTACTTACCCACTAAAAAAGCATTTATGGAACACATACTATGTACCAGGTGCAGGGGAGCCAGGAAGACAAGGTAAGAAGGTGGAGAGCAAATTGTGTAGTTGAAGACAGTGTTAAGTTTGGGATGCTAAATAGGCGTCCTTCCTATGGATGGCCGGCTTTGATCATTGGCAGTGGTGGCCTAGAGTGCTGGGATGGATTAGTGATGTCTGTCATGGGCACAGAATTGAGAGTCAGTGTATGGATGCTGGTATTTGCTGAAGCTGTGTTAGGGTTTTCGAGACAGACGACTCGAGTAAAGGTTGGGCATGGGAGGGGGAAGGCTTTTGTCTTCGAATAAAGTATATTTGTCTTGGTGGTATGAGGTGTAGCAGAAACTATTTCGGATCAGCGTGGGGGTGGATAGGGCTGGAGAGCAGCTGTTGCTGCTAATTATGTGCTTATTGTGTGCTGTTTCTCTTAAATGTCTCTAAGCCTCAGTTTCTTTATGTATAAAATGGAGATAATACCTGCGTTACTTCTATCATAATGTTGATGGGAGGAGCTAATGAATCATGGGCATGAAAATATTTTACCACCCACAGAACAATAAACCCTTGGAGTATTATTACTGCAGGTGTGGGGGTGGGTGGAGCAGGAAACACCTGCAGTTAGGCAAGATTGCGCCAGATGGTGGTGGCCTCAGGGCCTTTGCACTGGGCACCCCCCTTCCCAGCCTGCTGCCTCTTGTCATATCCAGGTCTTAACTCCAATGTTACCTTCATTCGTGCCACAGAACCTAAGCCTGTCCCTGCCCTGTCTCCATTTACCACTTCATCCTGTTTTATTGTCTTCAAAGTTCTCATCCACTAAAATGGTTTGCTTAGCTTATTTATGTATCTCCCCCTGCTAGAACTGTGCCACCGTGGTGAAGCCGAGACCTTTCCTGTCTCACTCCCACCTTCAAATCCTCAGAGCTTAGAATAGAGCCTGGCACATGGGAGAAGTCCAGGATTTCTTCATATTTGTTGCATCCGTGAAGGGAGGGTCTCTGAAGTCCACAGACCCAGCTGGGCTGGGGGCCCAGGAGCCCTGGAAGGACGGTTAAGAATCGAGTGTGTTGCTGTGACCTCATCTTTTTGCCAACATGTTCCTAAATCTCCAGTTTCTTTGGCTATTGAAAAAGGAATTTGATTAAATGCACAGTAATTGTAACTTAATTGAAAACTCTGTCCAAACTCTGGAACTGACTTCACAATGTAATCTCTTACAACAAAATAAAAACAAGATCAGAAATCATATTATTTTTTTCGTGTATGTAACAGGCCATGAAATTACACAGTGTTTCCAATTTGGCAGACTGGTGAATTCAATCTCTTAGAAGATAATCTTGTTCCTTAAACTACATGTGATATAAGCTTGAGTTGAAATTTGTGAATTGGATAAAATTAACAGCCAACCCTTCCCCAAACTGATTTGCTCTTAAATTGGCTTTTTTTTCCCCCTCCCCTGCTGGCTGGCACCAATTCCATTTTCCCTGGTTTCTTGTGAATTGTTACTATGCTTTCACCAGTCTTATGCATATGGCTAGACTGTGTGGGGCGTCTGTGAAATGAATGTGCATGGGGAGAGGTGTGTGGAGCCACCTGAGTTGACTCCCTGTCAATTACTGGCCTGAAAATCCAGGTGTCTCACGTGCACCTTCACACCTGGCCACTCACTTCCTCTCTGAAGATGCTGGGGCCACCCTGCTTGTTTCTGTCCCTTCCCAGGGTGGACTGATGAGTCATTGGTTCTCTCGCAGGGTGACCTGCCTGTGTGCCCAGTTCGAGGCCGTCCTGCAGCATGGCTTGAAGAGGAGCCGAGGGCTAGCACTGACGGCGGCCGCGATCAAACAGGCAGCGGGCTTCTCCAGCAAAACTGAAACAGGTACCTTTTGGCCACATGTGGCCCGGACGATGCTCTCTTTCCTCTTGCCTGCTCTTTTTATTTTTATTTATTATTTCATAGTGAGCAGGGCAGTCACTGTGAGGGACTGGTGGGACGTGGTGGTGCAGACATCCATGCGTAAGAATGTCTGACCTTACATGAATGATTAAGAATGTCAGTAATCATGTTGTCTGGCACCTTAATTTAAATGAAGCCATCCTTTGTGCAGAATTCTCAGAGCCGCGTGTTGTGTGGTTCCTGAGGGGCTTGGGGGCCTGCAGCCAAGGCGCTTATCTCACCAGTGTCATGTGGCAGTTGCTGGGAAATTAATAGCCTGTTTTAATTTTATGCATGGGGATAGCATGATTTTTCATAATTAAATCCGTCTTCAATAATAGCCACGGAAACCGCGCCGGTCTCTGAGCTTGTAAGTTCTGCTGCCGTCCCTTTTAAAGTTGTGAAAGCATTTCCCATGTGCCATGCTCCCATGTTGCCAAACGACAGGGATAACGCTAATAATAATAACTATTAACACTTATGAGTATCTAGTGCCCGCATGGCACTTTGTTAGTCTTCTGTATAAATTACCTCATTCAGTTCTCACAACAGCCCATGAATAGTAGGAACCTTTATTTTCTCCACTGTGCAGATGAGGACACTGTCGAGAGTGATCTGCTTCGGACGTGAACCTTAACGTGTATCCCATCATATAAAAAAACATCCTTTTCCTCCCCCCCACATTTTGAAGAGCAGGTTCTTTGCTTGTGGCTCCTGCTCCCAATCCCCGAATCTTTCTTGGAACTGTGATGGTGTCAGGGTCACTGCTGAGTCAAGTGTGTCCTTTTTGGCCAGTTCCCCTCCCGTCACAGCTAAACCCGGCCCTCGGCGTGTTCGGTGGAGGTGCGTGGAAATACCTACGGGCTGCACCCTTTGCCTTCCCTCTGTCTCCCTTCCTTTCCTCTCTGCCCTTCAACAGCCCTTTGATTTCCGTTCGTTTCACCAGTCACTCATTTTCATAAATGAATGTGGTTCCTGTTGGGGGCAGGGGGCAGCTGCAAGAGGGATTCCTGTCCCTGTTGATTTGTCTCCCTGTGGTCCTGGTTCCCTCCTTTAAAAGTCAGGGATGTAGGGGGCTGGTTCAGAGAAGAGCCAGCATCAAGGGCCCCGGTGCTTCTAGAAACCACTGCCAGCTGCGTGGCCACCTCAGATGTCAGCCTGTTGTCTCACGTCCAGGATACGTCCCTGGGCCTCTGCATGGGGTGGCTGAGGGCTCTGGGCTGGCTGATGAGCTGTTTGAGGGCATAACTTTTCCCACCGTCCCCCGCGGCTTGCTTGGCCCTTGTATTTCTTCTTGTTTCCATCTTACCTGTCTGGGGGTGGGGGAAGGTGGGGAGGAGGAGACGCCTTCATGAAACCGGTGTGGCTCTGGGTCTGCTTCCATCCAGGTGAGGGCAGCTGCCAGCCTGGCTTTGGAGTCGGACTGTGAGGGTAAGCCCGGATGACCCTGGGAATGCTGGGAGTCTGAGTTGCTTTTACCTGTAAAGATTGATAGTCTCGTGTACCTGGGGGCTTGTCAGGAGGATTCGGTGAGAATCTCATGTAAAGTTCTGCTTAGTTCATAACACCTAATACATGTTTAACCAGCTGCCCTTCTTTCTCCAACACTCTTTTACCTTTTAACTTCCTCCTCCGTCTCATCCCCCCGTAAGGCTCTGAGCTTTTGGCCATGAATAATGGCTCTTTCTCTTCCCACCACGCTAGAATTCTCGTCTTTTTGTTACTTGGCTCCGACAGTCAGAGAAGTACCAGCGCGTTTACAAGGCATGTCCAGGTCCACATTCTTGCCACTGGCCCGTTATCCTGGCATGACTTCTGCACCTTCATCCTGAAGAGACTGATGGATGAGTCTCTGGCTTTGTTTCCTGCTGAGGACATGCTGGGCTGCCTCCCAGGCAGTTAGAAGCAGGGGGAAGACCAGACTGGTAGCTCTGGAGCAGCTGCGGAGGGCTTCTGCCATCACTGCTAATTAACAGTTCACCGGTCCAGAATAGTCCTGGGATGATTCAAACCCCTTTCCTGCTATTGAGCATGTGATTAAAAACCTCGTAAGAGAAGGGAGCAGGGGTTCTTGCAGCTGCTAAGAGCTGGGAAATAGGAGATCAGCGGCTTTTTGAGGCCGTTCTTAAAGCCACTGGAATGACCCTTCCAGGCAGAGTGAAGAAAATGAAATATGAAGAGAAGGATTGGGTGGAAATGAGCATTGTTCTGCCCCTTTGCCCCTGCCGGCTGCTGGGTTAGGCCCTCGATGTAGCTTAGCAGTTTATACCAGACCCTAAAGCCAGACGGCAGGGTTGAAATCCTTGCCCAGGGACATATCACACGTGAGCTCCCTGGGACACCTCCTCTCTGAGCTTCTGTTTCCTCCTGGATAAAATAGGGTTAATAACAGACCCTGCCTTGCAGGGTGGTGGTGGGGACTCCATGAGTAAGTGTCTGCAAAGCCCAGGACTTGGTACAGAGCTGCGGGAGCTGGCACTTGATGAGAACATGGCAATAACTTTCCAGGGTAGATGATGGTGTCCTTATTTTTCGGATGGTGACAATGAGGCTCAAATAAGTTGCCCAGCTGGTAAATGGCAGAACTGATGTCAGATCCCTGGCTGTTCCCAGCTCCCCCTCCTCTGGCATCGGGCCTGACGCCCATCAGGGCTCCTCTGTAGGCCACTCTAGCTCCCTTAACTGCATGGAAAATGACAGGAGAGAATAAACAACAGTGAATTCATCCCCGGAGCATTAGCTCAGTTTACAGATGGGGAACATTGCCTTTTGAAGGGAGGAAAGCCGAACTTCAAAGTAATGACCGAACAAAATGACGTGGTTGAAAATCTCAATACAGTAGATAACCCAGAGAGTCTGCCAGAGGCATGACCGCATTTAGTCCTCTGGGGTTAGGGTGCATGTGGGACTGAGGTTGGAAATTGGTGCCTTGCACAGTGTACATAAAAGCAAATTTTTTTTTAAGTTGCCAATATTTAAAAATGATGAGATGTTATGTTGAAATATGGATTTCTAGCTTTCCTTAAACTTGAGGATCTGTGACTCTGGGCCCCCATTTAACTACTGGCTTTGGCTGGAGCCCAATTAATACCCCTGCCCTCTGTAGAGGGCACTTTGCCACAGTCTCCACCTCTCCCTATTGCCCCCGACACTTGCGATAAAAGTGTTGGATGCCATTTATTTTTGCATTGTTGTTATTGTTTCCACTATTCTTATCTAAAATTCAGTAGTTTTTAGGCATAAACACCTTTTAGATTGTAAGCCTTTGAAGTCAGTTTATAGAGTGCTAAAACAGTTGTTTCTGTCAATTTTGTCCAGTTTCATAGTTGCTTTTTGAGGAGACGATTTGTTAACTTTCCCATTTGGCTATGGCCAGAAGTCCCTTGTTTTTTGTTTTCATCTTGATGTTGAATACGTTCTTGTCTTTGCGCATGCCTGGTATTGTCAACTGAGTGCCAGATGTTGTGAATGAAGAATTGTAGTGATTTGAAGCTTGTGATGATGTTAGTGTTCTTTGGAGGGGATTTACTGTTCCTTCTCAGGCAATTAGAGAGGAGGAAATCAGTTTAATCCAATCAAGGACTGAGCCAGTTCACACGTGGACCTCAGCATTTGTGAGGGCTGCTGTATTTCCGCTTCCGCCTTATTTCTAGGATGTAGGTCTTTGGGGTGGTTTCCAGCTTCTATCAGCTTCCTAGGCTACGTAACAAATTTCCACACCCTGGCTGGCCTGAAACAACAGTGAGAAACTTACTCCTCTCACAGCTCTGGAGGCCAGGAGTCCAAAATCTAGGTGTCAGCAGGTGGGTTCCTTCTGGATGCTGGGAGGGAGAGTCCGTTCCTAGCTTCCGGCGTTGCCAGCGGTCCTTGGCGTTCCTTGGTTTGTAGCTGTTCCAACGTTGGCCTCTGTCTTCACATGGTCTTCTTTCCTCTGTGTCTGTCTGTCTGTGTCCTCTCCTTAGAAGAACACCAGTCGTACTGGACTTAGTTCCCACCCCCCTCCAGTAGGACCTCATTTTAACTAATTAACATCTGCAAAGAGCCTTTTCCCAGATAAAGTCACATTCTGGGGTTCCAGGTAGACATGTGTTTTTAGGGGACACTGTTCAATCCAGGACATAGCTGAATCCTTGGGGTGTTTACAGTGCTGTTCCTTCTTGGCAGGCCCTGAACTCTATTTTTTTTTTTTTTCTTTTAGACCCGTTGGGAATTCTGAAAGCTCAGCTTACCTTTTCATTAGTGCAGTTCTATAGTTGGAAAAAGCCTCAAGGGCAGAATAAGGCTCTAAATGTGGGACTCGTGTCTATGGCCGTTCCTTCTCCCCTAGGCCTTCAGTTTTGTTTTAATTAAAAAAAGTTGTCCAGGTGTTTAAATTGCTGTTGTTTTTGTGGGAGCGTTGGCCTGATCCAGGCGAATCATCCTTAGCTGAAAGTGGACCCTTGAAGTGACTCTTTCATTGTGTGCCTTTTCCTGTTGCCAGAGGTGCCACCTTTGTGTGTGACTGTCTTCGGTTCCTTTTCTACAAATCAGGTACCAGGTTTTCCCTCGGAGATAAACGAGAGCTTGGGAAAGGGAGTCTGCAGCCCATTTTCCCTCACCTTTGTGGTGATTTTAATCAGTGCCTACAGATACCTCCCGTCCCCTAGTTTGCTCTCTGCTGGGTGTTTTTGTTTTATTTGTTTTTGACTTGGGAAGTTTTGCCCTGACTTATGAAATGTTGGTAAGGCAGACATGACTGTGAGCAGCGATGCCAACTCAGTCTTGCCTGGTATTGTTGGCGGGCTTGGGAAGCGGTGTCCACCTCCCTTGAAGAGATCGTCCAGATAGTCGGGTTACGAAGGCCCAGAGACGCTTGGGATGAGGTTACGCAGTGTGTCTCCTTAGGATTCAAACCTCAGAAGTGAGAGCCTGCTGTGTCTGGAGGAGCCATTTCCTCTTGCTTT